GCCTACACGAGATGAGGCAGGATAAAGAGGGATAATCCCCCTCGATCCCAAATCATTGAGGCCAATTTCTAGCCATAGAATAATGGCGCGCTCGCGTTTACCTGGACAGGTGACCTGAACAGGTATACCGGAACGTGAGTGGCCGGCTTAAGATAAGCAAAAGCTGTTATGTTTCCGAGATCGAAAGGGAATGTTTCGAGTAATGTTTCAAACTCTTCAATTGGAACGTTTCGACTATGTTTCACTAAATAAGTTTTCAAGTGCTACATTTCTGTAATGAAACAGAAACGTTTCTAGTTAATGTGTCAAATGTTCAGTAAAACAGCTCATTTGCAACGTTTCATTTACGTTTCGTGTTTAGTGGAATACAATGAACATACTAAAAACTTATTATTATTTACCNTCTAGGGAATAAGTGAGACCTACACATGTACAACGTCACACACGCGTAGTCTTGCCTGAAGGTAGCACTTTACCACAGGTAAAATATATAAAATTTCGATTGTTTGCAGGTCGCCTGTTTAGGCCAGAATACCTGTCAGTTTTGTCACATACACGCTCGCGTTTACCTGGACAGGTGACCTGAACAGGTATACTGGAACGTGAGTGGCCGGCTTAAGATAAGCAAAAGCTGTTATGTTTCCGAGATCGAAAGGGAATGTTTCTAGTAATGTTTCAAACTCTTCAACTTCAATTGCAACGTTTCGACTGTTTCACTAAATAAGTTTTCAAGTGGTATATTTCTGTAATGAAACAGAAACGTTTCTAGTTAATGTGTCAAATGTTCAGTAAAACAGCTCATTAGCAATGTTTCATTTACGTTTCGTGTTTAGTGGAATACAGTGAACATACTAAAGACTTATTATTATTTACCTTGCCTCTACCCAATATAAGTGTGATAGCCCTTCTGCAGATGATATAGGTTCTCTTATTATTTACAAATATAATTTATGCTTTGTGCTTCTTTTAAAATAAAATATAGGTAGTTGATATATTTCGAGTTAATCACTCCACCACCCGTCCCATGGAGGCCGGTGTCCCCCAGGGCACCGTCCTGTCTCCACACCTATACACCATTTACAACTCCGACATCCCACATCCCCCCAACACCAACATATACTTATACGCCGACGACCTGACAATCACATCCCAATCCGTAGATCCTAGATATTCCGTCTCCCTCCTCCAAAACTCCTTAGACCAACTTGAAACCTGGTGCAACAGGTGGAAAGTCAAAATTAATCCCAACAAAAGTTCGGCTATCCTTTTTACCAAACGAAAAATCCCACAAAACCTCGACAGACTGACACTATCCCAGGAACCTATCTCCTGGAATCGACAAACACGATACCTGGGCGTGACGATGGACCAGCGTCTCACGTGGAAACCGCACATCGTGGAGACGGTGGCGCGAGCGAAGACCACCAGGGCTAGGCTCTATCCCTTACTCAAAGGTGGAAACACCCTCAGTTTAAGGAATAAGCGAACGCTTATCAAGGTGGTACTTCAACCGCAGCTAACCTACGCCTCCACGGCGTGGGGTCACGCGGCAAAAAGCCACTTAAAGTCATTACAGGCTGTGGAAAACATAGCCCTCCGCACGGCCACCGACGCGCCCTGGTACGTAAGAAACACTGACATATTACGAGACTTACAATACACAAACGCTACACAGACAATAAGACAAAACGCGGAGAAACGATTTGACGTAGCCGCTAGACATGACAATCCCCTCCTCAGGCAA